GTACCCAAAAATACGCCCCTAGTCTGTTTTATCCGGAAATACTCTTTAACATTAAACACGAAAAATGAAAAATAGCGTTATATCATTTTATAATACTCATCAGTTACAATGATGCTGAATGTCAAGATATCACCATTAAAAAACAAATCCATGCTGATGTAATCGTGATAAGAGTTAAATATAATTTACATAAGTTCAAGTTTAAAATAAATATTAGATAGGGGTTTATCCCTTATTTATGACTAAATAGCATAAAAATACTAATAAGCTATAACTAAATACGCAGTTTTACTCGACATAAACTTATAAGTAAAACAATGCTTTAGATATTGTTTAAATACAACTTGTGAAGGTTTTGATGCCTTATAATTTCAATTTGCTGGCATTAACATCAAAATACCACAAATTAAAACATTATTTCAGCATGCTACAAAAAAATTACCAAAACCTAAACGTAACACGATTTTGTCAGCATTGTTTTTTGAAACATTGTCTCTTAAATAATAAGATTTCAACAATTTTAAATAAAATTATAGTTGGAATATATCTAATTAAATAACGAATAACTCACCCATCACAGCACCACTGTAAAAAGCTATTGTCACTAACGCCAATGTTAATCCTTTGATTGCCATATTTAAGATATTTGAGAAACTTCTAATAAAATACTGAAACCAATAATGATGATTATTTTAAATATAATGCACAAATCTTGATTATGTTAATTAAAAACATACGACAGACGTCAAGTTAATTCGGAAAACAGTATCAAAAACGATCAAGAGAAATAGGTTATTATACATACCTGTTGTATGTCCAAAGTAGTAAGCGCGGTAAAATACGTAGGAAGCTGTTGCTTTTGTTTATTTAGCTGCAATATTTGTTGGAATAGAAAATTTGAAGGACGCTACACTAACAATGTAAATCTACGCAGATGCGCTGGGGACGGACCGATTATGAATACTGAATGGCAACTATTGCTTGGTGCCGACTGGTGGCTGTCGGAAACAGTCAATGTGTACATTGTGTACAGCTAGTACCACTACCTCACTCTTTCTATGTATCAGATCCAGACCGCCACGGCCGCCGCGTAGCTGATGCATTAAAATAAGAGAATACAGCGTACAACAACAAATGCAAATACGCTGGTCGGCAGATATAAAAATATAGTGAAAGTTACACTTGAATAGATGTGATAATAAAAATGACACGTTCCAAAAATAAAGCATTTCGCATTAATTAATATTTAACAGATTTTAATCTTTGTTATGCATCCATATGTGGCTAGAGAGTAATTACATAGTTTACTCACCATTAAACGTAGGTTTTAATACCAAATCTTTTTCTACCAAATCTAGAATACATTTTATCATTAAATTTCCACCAATGACGCTTTCATTTGTTTCTATTACACATATGGAATACCAACAATTGTAAAACTAAAATATTGAAATCTTGGTTATGACAACATTTTTTTATTAAAATACTCAAATACACTTTTCAATACCAAATTTACTAGAAGGTATATTACACTAGGGCCTCATGATTAGACACATTTTATTATTTTTTTCTTTTACACGAAGCTAAAAAGGTATTAATTTTACCATAATGTGTTTTTTAATATTTCAATGTATTTTGTACATCATATTTTTAAATATTTTTAATGTATATATATATGTATTTTTTCACATTTGTTTATGTGCACATAAACAGATGTAACCACTGATAAACTGATTTTTTTTAAAGAAAAGAGTATTACATTTTATTGTTTAATTTAAGTGTAATTTACTTCATGCTGTTCATTCATCGCTATATATTAAGGTTAAATGTAAATAAAAAATTGATACAGGTTGGAGTTGTCTCAAACATTTGTTTAAATGTGTTTCTTTATGAAATATAGTTTTTATCTAATATTATTAAATTTATTATAATATTAGTCATGAGTATTAATAAACTTTATTTCTAATTCTATACAGGTAGGTAACATCAATTAATAGATTAAAATAAGGTTGAGTACATCATTATAGGAACAGCAATAATAATTGTTTTTGGTCTTTGGAAGTAGATCATCCAATTTCGCCAATTATTTCCCCCATAGTTAATAAAAATATTTTAAATTCGAGTAGTATATATTTATATTCTTAAAATTCTATGTTATCAATTTGGTCCCAAAAAACAGCATATTTAGTCTCGGCCTTTTAATCTTCACAGAACCGTATTTAGATTTAGTTTCTCCCCTATCAAATTTTCAGAGATGCCCCTTAGAAAATATTATTTATTTTGTGTTTATGTGCTAATAACGTATACTTCATAATAATATTTTTGTAGTTTTTATGGAAGAAAATTCTAAAATTTGCTCCCCTAGCCTATGTCTTCTTGCCATATTCTAAATACAGCGCTGAACCTTCAAATAAAAGATGAAAATAAATTCACCACGTCTAGATGCGGTCAAAAGATATTTTCTTGAGAGGGAATGAAAAACTTTTATTATAAAAATCATGATGGAAGATCTGCTTTCATATCCTTATTTGTATTCTATATTAAAATGTTATTATGGAATATTGCATATACAGAGTAACTTTTTTAACGCTAACCACTCAAATTTTATTAAAATAATAATTTTTTGTAAAATATTTTTTTGTCTTTTGTTAGTTACATGTGTATCTTCATTTATCTGTTGTTATACAATTTTTTTTATGTTAATCCCTTATGCATTTTAGACGTGTTAATTTTTTTTTTTAACAGCAATATACATATTTAACTAACTTCTAAAATGAGATAATAACTTTTGAACCAGTATTTCGAAAGTTATCTTTATTTTTACAGTTTGGTGGGTGGAAGAGTACAGACGGGAAATAGTTAATAAATCAAGAAATGCACGTAACTAAAAGAATTAAACATATTTTTTACAGTATTGTATTAATTTTACGAGTAATTGAGTGGTTAATGATAAATTGATCACTTTGTAAATGCATAATAGCAAGGATTTTTATCAAGGTTGGCGCATAAGAAATGAAGGGCTTTTGCGCTTTTAAGAGCCTCGCAATTTAAAAAAATAACTAAAGTTTTTTAAATTAAAAAAATTTAAGCCTCTCTGAAAAATTGTTTTGCACTTATTTGTTAGTCCTGCGATATTAAGCACTGACCTTGATTTTTAAACATCTAAAATGATAATAGTTGTATTTTTCCAAAGGAACTTTTAATATAATTCTTTAAAAATTTACAATTTAAAAGATATGGAATTTTAATATAGATTGTGTTAGTTAAAATAAGAGTTTTATTTATAATAATGAATTATCGTATTCATTTTTTCAGAGTTGGTTGTTAGGTTATTAACAATGTTGCCATTTTTATACTATTTCATAATTAATATCTATGAGTGTGATTAGTCAGTGGAGTGTAATAAATACATTTTAAACTGAAATGAACTAAATGTTTATTTAATTAAAAGTCCTCTTGATTAACTATTTCTTATAATGAATCGTAAAGGCTCATGAAAAATGTACTGTTGCTGTATACAGTTTGCTAGATAGAACTATAATTTCAATTTAGATCATCATATTTTATGTGGAATAAGCATGAGACTGTTATCTATACTCTTGGCACTTAATTGATTATCAAGTGTCAATTCACTTATAAATATATAATATATGAAGTGGTATTATTCATGCAATATAAAATAACGATGTGAATTTTTTTATTGTTAAACTTTAATGTATCTTAATAACATGCCTTAACAAATATTAAATAATTTGATAGACACATAAATGTTTCTTATTATATTGAGAGTAACAAAATTTAGAAAATGAGTAGTTTATACATTTTTATATAAGTAACTGTTATAACCATGATGCAAGTAAGGGATACATATATGCTTGAAGAATAATAACCAAAACTTTTTAGCTACTCATTTATAATTCAGCTGTACTGTAAATAAAAAGTAATAATTTACGGATGTAATTTTGTTTATTCTTTACTTCATAAATTATTAATTTTTTTAATTACTCTTCACTCCATAAATTAAATAATTTAAATAGTTTGCAATAGTAACAGTGTCGTATTTGAGACTTCGTCTTGGGGGGGATATACGTAAAATAATTTTTATTTCGACCCTAACGAAAAATAAATAATATCTATGCCATATTATTTTTGTCATAGGGATATCACAATTATATAACCCCATAATTATGCCAATGTCAAGTAAATAACAATTTTTTCGTAGATATACAATTTTACAAATAACTATGGTTTTATACAAAAGCTACGCTTTTGGTGCTTTATTTTATCCGTAGCTCGTGATGTTCTCGTAGGTAAAGATTGTAATTGAAAAATATTTTAGGTTATTGATACATTAAAAAAGTATCAGCCTCGAATGATGCTATTGACAATAGCATTGATAAACATTTAACAATTTTTTTTGAAAGCAAACCATAGTTTTAACTAGGAAAATAAAATATTTTTGACGAACAAATTATTTTAAAATAAAACCTTGTCTGCTGTATGTTGTCATTTTTTTCAAATGTCAATTATATTATTTATTGCTAAAAACTGATGCAGTAGCTTCGTTAAACTAAATATACTTGTCTTATATTGTTCCACCAAATTAGTTCCGTCTTTAGAAATGTTGTAAATAACATGAACTATCTTAGTGAATCATAATTAATGTTAAAAAGTTCAGTATATGTACGCAACACATTTGTATATAGACGTAATGATACATAAGATCTATTATTTTTTTTTTAATCTTTTAATCACGATAGCACAATGATATACTATTGTGTGATTAAAGAAAATAATGAATGTCCGACAATATTATGCATAAAATTTAAAAAAATATTCTTATAATGAATGATTTTTTGTATTTTATATTGGTGGTATTGTCAAGGCGCCCGGAGTTCCGGCGACAGTCATGAATACTGAACGTTGACTACCGAGAACTGATTTTCACAACCAATGGTATTTCAGAATAAATCTACAAAAAAGTCAGTCATACCATTTTTATCCTTTGCGCATCTCTGACATTGTATGCTTATTACATATTAATTATTTTATATACTAGTCTATGGTACTAATCGTTCATTGCTCTTAACTAATATAGTATAACTACGGAAAATTTAATATTAAGTTTCCATTATTTACGTGTTTACCGCACTTGATAGATACAACAGGTATGTGATAACACCTATCTGAATTTGTTTACCAGTTTTAGGTGCGATAGTTTACTCTTATTATCTTTTTGAACTTTGTGCATCACTTGTGTAACAATACTTTATAGTTAATTCATCAAATGTTTCCTAAATACTATTGTTTCTCTATTTTATAACATTTTTTTGTCATAGATTATCCAAACAAAACTCAAATATGGCCATCAAAGGTTTTACATTGATATTGGTGACTTTTGCATTTTACAATGGTTCATTGGGTGAGAATTTTTAGGTTAATTAAATATGTTTAGTTTAAATAAACAAAGAATTTTCATTTACTAGTTTTCTTAATTTAAAATAAGCAAGTCTTTATATTTTTTTAGTTTAATCTTTCCCATATAGTCATTTTTGAATATTATAGTTGTAAAAAAAAAAAAAAAAAAGTCAAAATGATGAAAAACTATAAAAGTATATTTTTTAATTTATTGATTTTGGAGGGGGGTTTAATCCAACCAAAACATGTCTCTGCATTGAATACATTTTGAATAAACTTTGATTAAAATTATAATGTTTTGTCATAGTAAATTAAATGTATTATTTCATTAAATAACAACTATTTAACGTTTCTTACAAATAATTTATTATTAGTGTTATCATAAAAGTGATGACACTCTTATTGGTTTTAGGCTTGGGCATAAATGATTCCATTTGCTACATAAGTTTATCCGTTCTTTCTAGCACAAGCAATAGTTTTTAAGAGTGTACTTTTGACATAAAATCATAAATAAATAAATAAAATATATATTTTGGAATTGTCATCCGTTTTTCTGGAGGCAGATTAATCATTTTCAGTATACATGATTAAAAACTTATAGCAGTGGATAGGCCTGCTGGAAAAGTGGGATCTTCCTAATGACCTGATTTTAATTTTAATAAATGGGCTTCACTGTTTGGCAGTTAAATTTAATTTTCTATACAGTTCTGATCTGTGTCCAACTCAGGAAACCTCTACTAAAATCTAAGAAAATTTTATAATTATTATCTACTATTTAGACTTAGTAACTGAAGAGATTTTGTTTCTTGTTATCAAAAGTATTAAATGTAAAGATAATTTTTAAAAATGCTTTGTATTTATATTAATATCTGTAGTTTTTTTAAATCATTTTTTTTTAATTAACAATAAATTAAGAACTCTATTTTTATTTTTTAAATCTTAGATAGTATTAATTTAATCAATTGTTTTTAAACAATATAATGAAATTGTAGACGTTCGATTAAATATCTTTAAAGGAAGCCTGGTTAAAAACATTTTAACAATAACTATTAAGTTATCTATGAAATAGAAATTTTATAAAAGAAAATAATATTAATCAAATTAGTTATTAATTTCTAATTGATTTATTATTAAAAATGTTCAGGTGTTAATGATTGTACGCTTCCATGGTTAGTAAATAACAATCCTTTCTACAAAACCTTTGATTCGTTGAAAAATCGATGTCCTCCAATTCTTGGAAATCCTGATAAAGAATACTGTTGTTACAATACTGATGGAACAGTTGAATGTTGTGATTTTCCTGAATTTTTAGCATTTGGGTATGTGTACATTTTATATTTAAGTAAATTATATAGTGAATTCAGATAGTAAAGAAACGGATTTCTATTGTTTGCCTTGTTTGTAATAATTGACCTGTTTCCTTACTTTTTGAACACTTTGTATATTTTTATTTAATACTATTGAATTATTTCAGGTTAATTTGTCTCCTTCCAATTTTGATAATTTTATTAATAATTTCCTGTTTTATCAGCTGCATTTGTTGTTTATGTTGCCCATGCTGCACTGTATATAGACGTAGACAAGGTGGCAGTAAGTAAAATGTTTATATACTTTGTTAAAACTTCATTTAGCTTAAAACAAATTGAGGACTCTATAAACATTTTTTTTTTGAAAATTAACATTAGATCTCTGTTGAAGTTAAATTAAAGCTTATTATAGTGGTTTTTAAACATTATTTATGCATATTTATGTCCATTAATTTACTATTACTCTATATTTGCATGCTAAGCTTACAAGATAAAATAAAATAAATTGTTAATTTTCCTCAAACATTTTCTAGATATTTTTATACCAATTACTATTTTGTATAATTTAAGTATCTTACATCAACTATTTAAAAATTAAAATATTTTTGAAATTGTTTATTTAATTTTGTAGCTTTCTAAAAATATACGAGTGTAGGGTCTATAGTTTATGAAAGCTAGATAACATTACATCAAATATATTTGTATATGGATTCATTAATTTGTCAAAAAATAATTTGTGTGTGAACAAGTTCAAGTTAAAGTTTCCATAAACTGAATTGTTTTTTTTTTTTTGAAAGTCCATTCATATTGCGTCAATAATTATTGAATTTTTTTTCATACTCATTTTTTCCATAAAAAATTTTCTGGGTGACATTTTTATATGGGTTAGAGTAATAATATTAATTTAAAGCTTCCTTAAATCTTAACATATGTGTTTAAAAGTAATGTTTGTCATGTTTTTACTAATTTTAAAAGACAAACATTTTTTGAACTGTATAATTTTTTTTTAAGTTTTAAGAGCTTTATACATATTAAGTAATGATAAGTTATTGTATTATATGTAATAGTTTCAATAATTAATTTTTTAAAAGTGGTAATGGCTTTTCTTGCTCAATGCAATAGAGTAGAAATTGTACAATTAAATAATTAATTGCAATAATATACAGTTTTGAAAATGCATGTGGTTGTGGCTATTGAGATATTTATACGTATGTTATAAATTAAACAAAAATTTGCCTTGTATTAAGTCCACAATTAAATGCATTTTCACAGGCTGTATTTAAAAACAATATTACTACAGGGGTACTTGCTGTTGCACCACCATCTACAGTAAACTATGTATTTGTAGAGCACATTCCACAAGAATTGTATAATAATCCACAATATCTTGCATCAGGTAATAAATAATTAAGTTATTAATAAATTTTTTTCTGTGATGTTTTACAATTCACTTATTTATATTTGTAGCTTCAATTGAGAGAGCTCCTTTAATTCAAAATGAATATCCTAAAAGCAATGCTGGTTTTATGCACATGTAAAAGATTTAAGTGAAACAGTACTGCAATGATATAATTTCTTTTACTGGCATGAGTTTTTAAGTACTAAGCTATAGTATTTAAAAACAAAATATTATTTTTTTTTATTTACGTATTGATTATCTTATTATGTGTCTAAATTTTACTAAAAATGTATAAAGCATATTTTCATGACAAAGAATCAGAATATATAATTGTGATTTATATTTTATTATTACAATAATAAGCATATAACCTAAGTTATTTATCAACATTCTAAAACTATGTTAAATATTAAAATTGATGCATTTTTATGATATGTAATTGCTGTAATATGTTAATATTGTTGAAAATGAAATTTATGAAATAATTTATATTATTTATTTGTTTAATTACTAAGTGTTTTCCAAATATTATAGTTACTAGTTAATATAAGACCATGACCAAAACATTAAAAAAAAATTCAAATAAACTATACATTTTTATAATATTTGTGCCAAATTCTTTTGCAAATAGTCTGATTGAGTGTAAATTACTTAAGCTTGAAAATCTTATAATGAAATGTATAAATATTTTTTTTGTATAAAGTAATTGTAAATTTTTTAAATTATTCATTGATGGCAATTATATTTTTATGATTATTTATTAACACAACAATATATTCTTTAATATTTATATTGTAAAAATCTCATTTTATGTTTAACAATTTAATTATTTTTTATATTAAGATATATTTTGTCGAAATTCAAAATTGCTAAAATATTTTATTAATTATTTGCAAAAAGAAAAATAACTTTTATAATTAGTTATTTTGTAGCTAAAAAATACTTTTTATTTTTGGCTGAGCATCTTGTGTGAATATTTTTTTAGTTTTCTTGGTTATTATTACTAATTTTTTGTTGTTAGATGATATTGTAATCTCCTTATTATTAAGTTAAAATTTCTAATTATATACACAGTGTGTATATGTTTTAAAATAAATTCTTGATATTGATTAATTTTAATTATATTTTAGTATTATTTGACTTGTATGCAGTTAGACCTGAATGTGTAATTAATAAGTGGTTTAATTTTAAAATACTTACCAATAGTAGGATGCGTCAGTAAAGTATTGAATGTATATATAAATGAGCTTAATATATTTTTATTAAGCATTTTTTTATTATCATGTTTTATATTTTTTTCTCTTATTACTTAAATTGATATTATTAAAAGAGAAATTTTTGTCCAATTACCCTTAAAAATGACTCCACTTTAGAAATTATTATCTGTTGATTATTAAATAAAATATTTTTCATGTTTAGTGTTAAAATAGAAAAATTTTATTCGTTTATTGTGTTTATTTATTTAATGTTCAAAGACGTTTGCGTTGTAAAATTTCTGTTAAATCTTTTATTTGAAACCTTTTTAGTTGCCCTGTATAAATAGGAACTAATATGACCTGATAAATTTTTAAAAGAATTCGATAGAGTTAAAATATGCAGATTTTTATGTAAAATTTAATAGATCATAAACTAACAACATTATTAATCGAGAAATGTTGAAAATGTTACAAATTCTATTGATAGTTCATTAATAATAGAATAATCGAAGAGCTTTAGGTTTCAACATAATATTAAAATAATAACTAAAATGACTTTTCAAGTTTGTAAATGTGAATTTTATTATAATTTAAGGTTATTAAAAAAAATGTTTTTTTGTTTAAAACTGGGTTAATTTTGAAAATTGTTTAATCATAAGTAATTTATATCGATACATAAATTACTACGATTGTATAACAATTTCTTCAGTAACTTACTATCGAAAAATCGATTATCGAACATCGAGACGCATTGCCTAAATGACTAGTACTAGTCAGCAGCTGACTAGTACATCGTTGTTTTTCATTACTGATTGTATTAGTGTGCGTCGTCTCGTTGCTGTGAACTTTTTATCTTTGATAATAATGTGTGTATAATTTTTTACATCTTAAGAATATTTTGTGAGCTAATTGTTATAAATGATTTAGGAATAACACGACACAACCCAGAATATTGCTTGGGGTGTCTAAATTTTGTAAGTATTAAAAAGGCGTGTTATCTTGATCTCGCTTTTTAAATTTCGGAGAATAAAGCTAGTATTTATTTTTTATTAAAGACCAATTTATTGCTAGTGTAAATCATACATGTGTACACTTATATGTCTTTTAATTTGTGTACTTTTTATATTTATTTATTTGAATACAAATGCAAAATAATATTTATTTTAATTATATGATTTATTGTCATTTCATTTATAAGTGTTCAGTTGGTATTAAAAAAAAACATATTTTCTAAACAAACCATTTTTAACAGTATTAACTAATAACATTTCTTTTTAATTAATTTTGAACTAAATTTATTAATTATTAGTTTTGATATAGTATTTACGATTTGCAATTTATCTATTTATTGTTTGGCACTTTAGGCACTGTCTTTACCTTCCAAGTTGTTTTTTTAATGTAATGGATTAACAATTGATAAACTAAAGAAAAATGTTTAAATGTTCTTAAAGTCGCTGTATATTTTTTATAATCATCTATTTTCATATGATTATTTGCATATAAAAATATATTAATTTAATAATGTAAATTTCCATCTCAAAGTTTAATATTTAAAATATTTAATGTCTAAATGCATATTCTATAAAAACAATTTGATATTTTCTGTATTCTTGTATTATTCTCTTATGTTTGATCTAAAAAAACTGAAAAGAAAACTCAAGAATTGCTAATATTACTTAATGCCTATCAATTATGATAATACCAACTCAATATAATTTGATAATTTAAATGCAAATTGCTAAATTTTTTTACCATAAAAAAAATAACTGACAATCAGTCCTTATGTTTTCTTATATTTCTAACTTTTCCAGTTAAAGAATGTACTTTTTATATTTTCTCTAACAATTTTAAGCTTTTAAAATATTAAGTAAAATTCTTTTGCTTTAAAAACCGTGCTCTATTTGATTTGTTTTTTTATGTAATTTAAAATTAAGTATTAGATTAATATTGAATATTAAAATATAATAGAAAAATATTTTGTATTATTTTGTTCATTATATGATTGATCATTTTCTTCAAAATGATCATTCGCAACAATGATTAATTTGAATCATTATATAACTATAGATTATTTCTATTTTTGACTAAAAATTTAAAAAAGTTTTGATTAAATATTTATATTTGAACATAATATATTTTATGACTAAATGAAAAGAGTAGATACCTGTATTTATATTTTTTAGAATATATCTTTAAATTATAGTTTGAGTAATACAATCTTTTGATCTTGTGAGTTTATGAAATAAAATTCTGTTAAAAAAACTTTTAACTCTAAAAATGTAATAATATAATGTTTATGGTTTAATGTAATTATATTTATATCATCTGTTGATAAACATTATTTAATTAAAAAAAACATTGTTATTGATGTATTTATTTAAACTATGTATTTTCCTAATAGAATACAATTTTTTAAATTATATAAAGAATTATCAATATAAAATAACTAATGTATAATTTTTGTCAAATTTTTTTTATAAAGTTTTTCTATTGAAATTTAATCAAATATAATTTACAACTTTACTAATTAATTAATTTAAGTAATTGGTCTACTATGTAAAAAATTGCTGGATTTGACATGATTATATTATATTGTAAAACACTAAATAATAACAAGTTTTAATAATATTAGATAACTTAAAGCATATATTTATATTGATTATTTACATTTTTTCAGTGTAAAGTTTTATGAATTCTTATAAACGAGACACCATGGCTGATATAATGGTGCATTCGGCTGATAATTCTCCTCGCCGAGAAGTTTACAGATGTGGCATGTTATCACCAGTTCTTGGACCACGTAGTACTTTTCGTATGAGTAGTGAACTCAAACACAGCCGGAGTGATGATTTGATTTTGCAAGGGGCGCCTTACACTCCAGCTGATATGCAACATGGTATTAGCGATGCAGCTTTACAAATACAAAAAGATGCTTGTGTTGTTTATGATGATGAAATTAGTGATCCTAGGATATCAGTTGATTTTAATGAAACTTCAAATATCTCACAAGATATTAATCCCATGCCACTTTTAAAACTAACGGGTGATTTTGCACAAGATAATTCAAACAAGAGATGTAGTGTTGTGGATCGAGTTGACCCTGAAGACAGTATTAGTGATATAATTTCTCAGAATGATTTTTACAGGTATTTATTTATTGCTGTATTATGGGTTGTTTATTTTTTTGTTAACTTCTTAAATTATCTTTTTAGTGTTCTGTTTGAAACCTATATGTTACATATTTTTCTCTTTAATACCACAGATTTTAAATTCTAGCATTTTTGTTATACTTTACTTAGTTACAAATTCTGAATATGATATTACTAAAATCGTATTATTTGAGAAATATTTCGTGACTTTATTTTCTGACTTATAATTATATATATTAAAATAAAATTTTCGTGAAATTATTTGTAGTATTTCTTATGCACGACGTCAGATATTATCTCATCATTATTGAAAACGTCATTTTTTGCACATTAACTAAATGTCTTTAGGGTACTTACGACTAACAAACTTGTTTAGTATGTTACCTGAACTATAGGTGTGTCAGATGTAAGTACGTTCGTTTATATTCGTTGGGTTTTGGTATAAGTGCCTGTTTCACAATGTGTGATTAAATCGGAAGTTTAAGAAGAGAATTATTGATCTAAAATTTTTGTTTGTATGAAATTAAGCTAAAAATTATACAGTCAATGGTTATGAGTTACCAAACGTGTAATTCACGAGAATACATTTTAATCAAAGTGAATCGAATTAATTATAAATAAATTAAAAAAAACTGGGCAATTAATAGCTGAATAAAAATCATTCTCGTAAATATTAAAACAAAATAGAAATTTATTTATAGTTAGGCTTTAAAATTTGAACTACATAATAATAAATGAAAATATAATATTGTAATATAACAAATTATAACTATTAAAACATATAATTTTTTTTTCGTTTTTATCCATAATTATTTCTGTATGATTTTAGTCATGTCTTCCATCGTTCTTTAAATCCTTTAAATGTTACAGATAAGTTGTAACATAGTATATAGCTTGTTAGTGCCACTCTGTTTTAACTTTTTGAGTCCATCAATTTATAGTTTGATAACGAGACAAAACAAGTATATTTTCAAGGTCGTATTTTTTCCATTACATTTCCGGTAGCATCAATTCTCAAGATATTGTTATTTTCTTATCTTGGCAAGTTATCTATGAAACTCATTACACGCCAACTAACAAAATCTTCGAAATTTTATAACAAGAGGTCCTAATGTTAAAAAACATTCAAGCAGAGTTACATTTCAGTATGTTCGCTTAGGGAATATCTGTTTAAAAACTGATTGCTAAAAAATATACAAATAACAAAATATAAAAGAATTGTATTTTTTTTACGCGTTAAAATTTTTTACTATATTATCAACTATTTTAATTGAAAAATGTAGAGTAAGATCATTATTGTAGCTAATTACTTGCAAAATTTAGTATAATCATTTTTATTCCTTAAAATCAATTTTACAGTAATATAGCAAAATATTTTTTAGTAAATTGAACTAATTTTTAAAAATTTTTCTTAAACCCATTAAAGACTATATAATTTTAATTGTAGACATCAATTAATTAAAAGAAATAAAAAATGAAATAAATTTGATACACATCTTAAATAAATAATTTTGGAAAGGAAATGTCTTAATAAATTGAAATGTCATAAATTAATATTTATAATTACAAATAAAACATATTAAAGTACTATTATTTTAATGTTTTAATCAATCAATACTTTAAATCAACGTGTTTTTTTATATCAATTATTAATTTCATTATAATTTTTCTACTTCAAATAATTTTTGATTGAAGAATTTTTAAAAATGAAACGTTTTCGTTCTGAGCTTTGTGATCATTTTTTGTTATAGGTTTGTTTTGTTCAAACGACATTATGAAAAGTATCTAGATATATCAAGGAAATATGAAGAAGCTCGAAGCTTGGCTTATTACCTAGAAGAAAAATATCATGAAATCAAGGTGAGTGTCCATTATCCTGGTTTACATTATTAAGGTTATTGTTTAACGTTGGTTGTATTCTGAAAATATCACTCAAATTAAGAGGTCGTCTTTTTTATTTTACTATATTATTATAGTTTTAATTTTTCGACACCACTTTCACTATATTTCTATATCAAATTTATTTGCTACGACTAAACATAGTATACACCTACCTACTATGAAAAAGTGACATACATACTTGAGGCGTTCCGATGTTATTGTTGTTATAATGACTATTGGTTTTTATACGTTGGGTCTTATATATAAACTTCATTGCACTGTGGCGGCGTATTTATGGGAAGAGAGGTTATATGGGGTCCGAACCCTCATGGTCATAAAATAATAATAATGGGGTAGTGGGGGGGGGGTGAATCCCTCATTACTTTAAGTTCTAAAATCTATCTGGATTCCTCCATACAAAATTCCTTAATATACCACTGTAAATGCAAACTCTCACTTTATTTCAAATGAAAAGGGAAAAGGGCAAAATTGAATCTTATTAAAGTTAATATAAAAAAATGATGTGCACACATTTGATTTAAAATATTTCCGTGAAATGATGTAAATAATTTTAAACTATATATATATATATATTCTAAATTAATCAAGTGATATAAAATTATCTTATAATTTGTAATACTTCAATTATAGTAAATAATATTAAATGTTTACTGTGCATCGTTAGAGCCGCATTTTCTGTAATATAATAATCTTATAAAAAAATCAGTGATCGTTGTAATAATTTTTATAATTATATTTTGTTCAAATATTATGCAATTTCCAAGTTACCAAAGTGAGAGATGCTCATTCGTGTAGGTAACTGTCGGTAACGGGAAATATTATTGATTAGCCGTGTTCATCAAATTAAGCCGGTTACCTAAGAGTGTGTATGAATCATACGGTGCACTATTTACTCCAATTACATATTTTTTATTCGAAAATACACATGTTAAAATATTTTAACAGTTGAGTGATAAGAAATTGTAGTAATACATAACAACATGTGTTATATCCAAGGTAAACTCATATTAGTTTTAACTATAGGAATTTGTAACCATGGCATGTAACGGACACAGTTACCGCTAAGTCCTTAAGGTACTATTCATCGCAATCGAGATAGATAAATATATGACCCACTAATACGATAATGACCGGGTTAGATACTGCTAGGAGACAATTTCAAGATGTAAACGTCCACTGTTATAATCAGTAAAATTCTAATATGATGTATGTCTAAAAATTATATTTTGACCATATAGTGTGACTAGTTTTTCGCTAAGTCATCAGGGCAATATTTAAAAAGGATGTATAGGTGTTGCATTCCCCTACAAGCACATGTGTTCGTAATTTCAGTTAGGTGTGGTGAAATAAACCGGGGGATATTTTAGGATTAAATATAAAAAAACTTATTACCGTATCATAGATGTATTCATAAGAGAATTTTTACTTATTACTGTATTGATTCAATATAATAAAGTAGTACTATGATAAATAATAATAAAGAGCTAATATCTTATTAAATTTAATATGTAAAACATTGGGCAAAATAATGAAATATATTTGTACTCGCACCTAATAATTCTAAACTGTCTATTATTAAAGCAATTTGTGTGTAGTTTTAGTATTAATATTTTTTAAACAATTTTTTTGAAAGAATTAATCGAAAAATTCTAATACAATATTCCTACAACTCTGTTTAATTTCGCTTTACTCTGAAAAGTAATGTAAAGAGACGTCCCCTTCGTTTAAATGTAAGGGAGACTACATTATAGAGGATTAAATTCTTGTTTTTCGTTTCTTCCAAAGTATTCTCTTAAGAATGCGAATAAATGTGATGCTATAAATAATAATAATATGCTTGTTTTATATCCTCATATCAATGTTTATTTGATTCACCCTAAATACTGTCATAAAAACCTTAGGGCACACGCGTCGCAGAAATATCCGCTGTTACACAATTTGTCTTAAGGCGTGGTTATATGTGTATATTTTTTAACTGCTTTTGTTTTCCTGGCATTAATTTTATTATAATGCAATGCTTTCAAAGTAAATCGATGTAGCGTTACAAACCTTATATATAGGTTTACATGGCACGATACTCAAGTAGTACTATGGCCGCTAGTAGACATATGAGTATAGATTTTAATATGAGACTTATCTTACTAGACAAAGATCAATAACATTATTGATCATGATCATTCATTTTACAACATTTTTATTTTCAAATTTTGTTTTTGTTCATCATATTAAATAATTATATTTTCAAATAGTTATTAAAATATCTAATATGATTTATAGATGTTTGAAAATTCTTAAAAATAATACTTAACTTTTTATTTAAACCTTAGAAACATGTATACATAGTGTTTTTAATTTGGTTTTTTAGCATATTCAGTGGTGTTATAGGAGAGAGGGTATAGTCGTATACCCACTATTTTTTAAATTAATGTATACTCTAAAAATAATACTTATGTACTATTTATATTGAAGGGTATATGATCACAAACCAGCATATACCCAAAAATATAAAAAAGATTTTTTTTGTAAAAACACTAGTGAGCATTCATTGACACATGACATAACACCTTACAATCGACCGTTGACTTCAAGGTTCTATTTTTTTGTTTTTAAAGTAACTGACACAGATTTACTAATAAAAATGAATTGAATTTTTTTCTTTAAATGTGTGAATTATTTGTTATTTGAATATCGTAGTATCATTCAACCAGATTGAATTTATAGTTTTGTAAAAATTAATGAAAAAAAAATGGTAGCACAATGGAGGGGTCACGGTACAGTGTGAACGTGGCCTAGTTGGGACAAATTTAGATGAATCTAACTGTGATTCAAATCACTATCATAAGAAACGCTTCGATGCAAATCTGTAGATTGTGTTTATTTTTAAAAAATTTGTGTATTATTCCAAAAGCAACATGATCTCCTATTTCTTTATTTATATTCTGATTATAAGTTTTATGATTTATAAGTGTAATATATGAATAAATATATATATTTATAATAAATAAATATATATAGGGAAATGGTGTTATTAAAAAAAAAAAGGTATGTCAAATGGAAGAGGGATATAAATAATATTTCTCATGAAAAAGTCGTATTGATCTATACATTTTTCAAAAAGTTATAGCATAATAATAAAGTTAAAAATGTAAAATATAAAATCAAAAATCTTCACACAAAAATAGCATTCGGTAAGTATTTTCATTGTGAAGACAAAATAAAGTCTGAATTTTTTTTTTTCCATAATAAAGTATATTATTTCCTTATTTATATTCTGATAATAAGTTTGATGATTTATAAGTGTAATATATGAATAAGTATTTTAAATAAATTTATATTTATTTATTAAACATTCAAATAAATTTGTTCAACTTCGACGGTCATTTGCATTTAGAAGATAGATCGTCGGGACAATTTTTTTTTTAATTTATAGTAAGTAACATAAGTTTTAATTTAACACATATTTAAAGGACGTAGTATTTCCGGAACATTTTCAAAAGTTAAATTGAAAAATTTGCTATATTGATACCGCCTCTGTAGGCAGGTAAATGGTCAGGTTTTCAAAAAAATTATATTAAATGAAAGAAAAATATCTCAGGTGTTATTGAAAAAAAAATCATTTTGATTTGTTAATTTTTGAAATAGTTTTCAGAAAAAATGTCAAAATTTACCGATTATAAAGTTGTAATTTTTTTGGGGATTTCTTCCTTTTAAATGGAAATGGAAATATTTTCAATTTTTAAGGGCAAATCGTATCTAGCTTCAACTAGATACGATTTGTGATCTTTGACGTATCGTTGAAAGAAATCGGTCGGTGAGACCTGAGAAAAAAATTGCGACAGACATTCAAAAAAAAACATCGTAGTAAAATTAATACCTTCTCAGCTTCGCATTAAAGCTAAAAAAAAATTGGTCTCGTCTCTGCGTTTTATAACAAAAAAACATTCTTTGATGATTTCATAAGATCCAAACGATATACTTATAGTAAAAACGACGTCTGGTAACAAAAATAAATATCTATAATAAAAATAATGGTGCTGTTGAGTGTAAGATCATTTCAGACTTTTGTATAGAAGTTCATCAGTGTGTAACGTCGAACACTTGGCTATGATGGAAACTGTCGGGGTAAGTGTATAAGTGGAAACAGTATGTAGATTAAAATTAACCGTAATGAAGACTATTTAAAAAATAAAGCAGCTGATTATATTTATACATTAAGACATCAATATTTCTTCTTAAAAATGAAAGTCTCTTCCTCAAACTGATTGGATTGTATCTTAAGCCTAAGGGCCTACTGTATTTGAGAACTCGGTGAAATCTTTGTATTAAAACGTACAATTATGTTAAAATAGCTAAAAAGCAAACAATGGTGTACATTTTGTTTTTCTGTAAAATGATTGATTTTATAAAAAATAAAATTGCAGTTTTCAAACGATTTTAACTCTTACCCATTTGAAAATCAGTATATATTTAAATTTCATATAAACTTAGTTTGAAGAAAAACCAAAGTTATTTTTTAACGTAATTCGTTTTTTTTTATTCTTGTTTTATTTTCTAATAAGAGATCTTATTCTTAGTATTTGTATCATGGTTCGTGACTATATTGGGCAATAGATAGTTTACAAATAAGAATATATCATAGACAATATTGAGTTGATAAAACTGGATTTAATTAGATTTAAATGCTAGGTATACAAATAATGGTAACAATACTTCGGTAGAAACACTTGGGCGAAGAAACCGAATTAATATAATTGGTTAGGAGATGCGCACAATGAACCTACAGGTCTGAGTGCCCACCTCTAATAACTAAAAACTAATTAGATTTAATGAAAATTGATTGTATGATGTGCATGACGTATGTATTTTTGATCACTAGTTTGTGCATTTACAAGAATCCTGGTACTGGTCATGTTTCTACTAATATTCTTCGATAATTACTATTTTTAATACTCGTAGCT